AAGTTGAGCGAATTTCATCAGAAAATAAATTCCAACAAAATTTACTTCGGAAAGTCTCCCAGTTTCGTAACTGAACTTATAAATATATCAAAAAAAAAAGCTCTCACCAGGTTCCATGGACTGGAGATATTGTAGAACGCAGGTGATATAGTCCAGGAGTGTGGCCAGCAGAACATTGGTATTTCTGATATTGAGATATGCGGAAAAGATATCCAGAACGGTGGCCTGTACCGAAGAAACGGTCTTCAGCTGATCGTCGTTGTCAGCATCTGCATCTGTAACAATGACGATACGTGCAAAGAGAAGGCTGGAATGAGGTCTGCAAACCCACTTCTACACACTGATTTGAAGATAATACCAGGAAATGCAATAAAACACGATGATTCGCCTTAGCAAAAACTGGCACTAAGCATTTTATCAAGGATTAGTGCATCAAAAGGATTAGTGCCCCTCGCGCCACGTTCCTTAGCGTGAAGGATTCGTTTTTATGCGTTTTTGCATATATGCAAATGCGAAAACGCATATTGTAACAACCCCGGTGTGTGTGCGTGTGTGTGTATGTGTGTGTGTGCGTGTGCGTCTGTCCGGGTATTTCAACTCGGCACCCAAGCAAGCTCCGGCGCCAAAATTTTGTAGATGGGTTCCCGGCCAGGTACCAACCGCAGAGCCGCGGTACCAACCTTCATGCATGTCTGGGCCCTGCGTACGAGGGGGTGAAAGCTTTGGCGGGAAAATCGTCAACTCGGGAACCAGAAAAGCTAAAAAGCTGAAATTTTGAGGTTATGTTCCCCGTGTATAGAAATCAAAGATTTCAAATTCGGCCTCCAAGTGTGCGTGGTTCCCGCGTATGGCCCCGTGAAGATTCCTGGCGCGAAAATCGCTAACTTAGAAACCGGGAAAGCTGAGGAGCTGAAATTTTCAGGGAATATTCCCAGCACAAGCACAACTTATAGTTATCAAACTCAGCCCTTCAGCTTGTGTGGTACTCACGTACGGCCCCGTGAAATTTTTTGGCGCGAAAATGGCTAACTCGGGATCCAGGAAAGCTGGGAGGCTGAAATTTTCAGAGAGTGTTCCTAACCCAGGTTCAACTTAAATTTTTCAAATTCAGCCCCTCAGCGCGAGTGGCAATCACATACGGCCCCGTGAAAAGTTTTTGGCGCGGAAGTGGCTAATTCGGGAACCAGGAAAGCTGGGGAGTTGAAGCTTCCAGTGAATGTTCCCAGTACAAGTACAACTTACAGTTATCAATTTCAGTCCTCCTGTATGAGTGGTAATCACCGACGGCCCTGTAGAAATTTTTGGCGGGAAAATTGCTAACTCAAGAACCGGAAAATTTAAAAAACTGGAATTTCAACAAATTGTTCCCGCCCACACTTCCCGGATATCGAGGACCAGTATATCACACATTTCTAGCTACTGGGTTCCGAGCGATGTCATTACAGCATGAAATGTTGTAAAAACGCATGATCGCAGAGGCCCGCCCAGTGCACGTCGCCAATGATTTTACTTTTTTTGCACGGCTGCTGCATCTTTACTGAATTGTCATCCACTTGTCAGGTGAATATGTACTGAACACTAGTTTGTGCTAACCAAATTAGCTGAACAAATAGAGGCACAGTGCCTTTTCGACATGCTTAGAGTTGCCAGGGTTTGTACTTCCGAATGCTTCGGTACTGCCTAATCCGTCGCATTTCCTCCCCCCCCCCCCCCCCCCCCCCCCCCC